AAAAAAAAAAAAACTTAAAAATATAAAATACCTGATCATGCCGTGAAGAACAGAGTATATAAAAATTCGCATATTAAAAAATAAATTATATTGCCCAGGTATATAAAGTTTAGCATATTTCATGCTACATACATCATCCAAATCTTGATCAAATATACCCATTGCAAGTACAGGTAATGATGTAAAGAATAAATTATAGCAAGCAATCAAAACCGGATTGTAAATGGACTGCAAAATTAGGATATGAATTTTTAAATTTGAAGTCAAAATACTGAGTTCGGAGTGTTTCTTATCTGAATTTAACTACTAAAAGACATATCAGATGAATAAGTTAAAACTGAATTATATATTATCCTTTTATTATCAAATCTTTTAGCTTATGATAAAAGATAAGAATGGTAATTCCATATCTCAATTATTTTTCCGAGCTAAATTCGAAGCTACTAGCTTGACTTTCGGTGATTTGAATTTCTTTAAAACAAAAACAAAATCAAAACTTCAGATTTTACATTTAAATTCTAGCAAATAAAATACTCAACTTTAAAAATTAAATTTAACACTACCTGTGCAGAATAACCACAGAAGAAGGAATACCAAAAATGAGTAAGTGTAAAAGCAAAATTTTTGTAGAAAAAATATCGCAAAAATTTTGTTATCCTAAAATACGACCAACGACCATGTACCAGTAAAAGTCTTCTCAGATAACGAAATTGCCCAATGCTATAATCAGATGCTAACACAGCTTGCATACCTTCTTGTCCTAAAAATTCAAATATAATTTTTCAGAGTATAACTTAAACTGTTCATCCTTCTAAATTTCTTTCGAATTTCTTCCGAATTTATGTTAGAATAAAAAAAGAAAGATGCATAACAAGGATATGATTTGATTTTCAAAGAAAAAAAAAAAACATTAAATTTCCTTAATTTATCACATCCTTTTACTGGATTAAGCAGTTTATATGTGAAAATTTTTGATATGATATTAATTTATCGAATTAATCAATTTCATCATTTTTAAATCTAAAAATGCCCACAATTACCATCTCAGATAAATTATTTCCATTACTTAAAATTTGAAAATAACCTGATATTCCAACTCCAATATGTGCCGTTTTAATCATCGATACATCATTTGCACCATCACCAACAGCTAATGTTACTGCTTTTTTATTTCTTTTCACCAAATCAACAACCATTGCTTTTTGAAGCGGTGTAACACGACAACAAACTACTGCCTGCATGAAAAAAAAAAATCATTTTATCAAATCAAAAAAAAAAAAAATATCTGAGTATATGATATGAATATGAATATGAAATAATTAAATTTCATATTTATATTCATTTCTTTTTTGCTTCTTTTTTGTTTTTTTATTTTTTGCATCAAATCAAAAAAATTATTACTATCTGGGAACAGTATAATATGATATGAATATGAATATGAAATGATTAAAATATCAATACTAAAAAATTACTAAAAAAAAATAGTAATAATCTGAGAATAGTAAATATGTTATGAATATGAATATGAATACGAATATGAATATGAATATGAATATGA